GCCCGGCCTTGGGGGACTTTATATACATGGCTTATGGGGACTTGTCCCCTAAATTAACTCTGAGCAATTTCCCAGACAAACTCAGGGAAGTCACGTGGGAGGGAGTACAGTCTGATAACTTAGAGCAGGGGTTGTTCTGGTGTCAGACCGCCTGAGTTCGGATCCCCGCTTAGCCACTTATCGGCTGTGTGACCTTGGGCTACTTCCTTAACCTCTCACTGCTTTCACGTTGCCAGGACTGTAAAATGGTGCAGCCACTGTGGGAAACAGCTTAGAGGTTCCTCAAAGAGAAAGACCATATGACCCAGCAATTTCACACCCAGCTATTTACTCCCCAAAATTGTGTTCACATAGATACTTGTATGTGAATGTTCACAGCAGCACTATTTACAGTAGCCAGAAAGCAGAAACGGCCCAAATGTTCATCGACAATGAATGGCTGAACACACTGTGGTCCTCTCACACAATGGAATATCAGTCGGCCATGAAAAGGAATGACGTGCTGATACATGCTACAACATGGATGAAACTTGAAAACACGCCGAGTGAAAAATGCCAGCCACAAAAGACCACATATTATATGATTCCATTTACAGGAAATATCTAGAATAGGTAAATCCATGCAGACAGAAAGCAGACGAGCGGTTGCCAGGGGCTCGGGGGAATAGGCAATGGGGGGTGACTGCTTAGTGGGTACAAGGTGTCCTTCAGGTGTGACGAAAATGTCTTGGAGCTGGACAGAACCGGTGGCGGTTGTACAACATTGTGAATGGACTAAATGCTACAGAATGGTAAACCTCTAACATGATCAATGGTTAATTTTATGTAATGTGAATTTTATCTCAATAAAAGGTAAAAAAATCAAGACAACAGCACTTGCCCGGCAAGCCCAGTGTCAGGTGGAAATGAATCAGCCACGCCCGTCCCTGGGAAGGGCTGGCCCCACACTAACTGTCATTGTTGTCACCATGAGGTTTGCAATCTCTGGTGAGTGACTTAACTCAGTTTCCTCTGTGAAAAGAGATACCGACAGCATGTACCCTCCCAGGACTGTTAAGATGAAATGAGGGCCGGGCGTGGTGGCTCACGCCTGTAATCCTAGCTCTCTGGGAGGCCGAGGCGGGCGGATTGTTTGAGCTCAGGAGTTCGA